CGTCACCTGGTGCCTCTGGTTCCTGCCAGATATCCTTTCTTTAAACAAACATCCCCCTGCAGTACAGCGGTTACAAAACAGCTATTTGTGTCGTTCTTTGTAAACCAGGCTTTGATCACTGTGATGCCAGTGAACTCATCAGATGAGTTTCCTGGAGTCTGATGTCATGTTTAATGTTTTCGTCTTTTGATCTAATGAACCAAACGTTTCTTAACCTGAAACCCCACATGGACCCAGCGCCACAGTTCAGGTTCTGTTCACACTGAATGCCACTGCTCTGCTCTACTACTACCTCCGCACCTGCAGGACAGACCCGGGCTTCGTCAAGGCGACCGAAGAGGAGAAGAAAATGGTGTGAGGGTTATTACACATAATCATTTTATCGTCCATGTGAATGTTTTACACACAACTGAGCTGAGGTTTTGTTCTTGTGTCGTCAGAATGTGTTGGTGTTGGCTGAAGCCGGCTGTTTGGACCCCAGAATATTCTGCACTTCTTGCATGGTGAAGCTCTGAACACAGGACATTCACTTTTTACGACACTGTGCCATCAACGCAAACGGGAACAACCTCTTCTGATTCCCTTTGTTCACAGATAAAGAAACCAATGAGAACGAACCACTGCTTCAACTGTGACGCCTGCGTGGCGAAGCAGGACCACCACTCCGTCTGGACCAACGGCTGCATCGGTACGTCAGGCTGCGGCAGTAACTGGAACCGCCAGAAAAGACAAGAACACATTGAACTTCTTTCTAGTTTGAGAGCACGTACTTCCATGAACATCATGAACAATCCTCAAAATGTGTTTTAGTAACTGAAAATGCTTCAGCTGCATCAGAGTTTACATGGTGGTGAGACTGGGCTTGGTATATACATGAGATTATTTTCATTCATTCAAAATGCCCCATTCCACTGTGTTAAATCCTGAATGATTAAGATAATTTGTTCCTTTTCCACTTGATTTAATCAAAGTCATGTTTTGAATATAATCTCATAACTTAACTAACAAGACTATAAACTCTTTGGGAATGTGATTAGAAATCCTGTTTTATATTCTGTTTTATATTCAACTACTTTCCTTTTACACTTAGATATCTGTTAAAGAAAAATCAGCACAAAAAGTGCCATGGATAGATAATTTAATTTGTTAGTGAGTGAAATCTTTGATATGGATTCATCAGCAGAAGCTGAAAATTACAACAAAATGATTCTGTAACTGCTGAATATTAAAACTTTTTCAATATATAATTAATTATAGATTTGTTTTTAGATTTATACTAGTTAATTATGTAATAGAGTTCAGTAATTCGTTAATCATCAGTTACTGCAGTTTTTACACAGTGTGTAGCTTTATTTCAGTGTCCAATCTGAGGATGTTACATTTGCGTTTTGTTTTATCAGGATGTGACAAGTTATTATAGACCAGCATTTATATCAGTATCAGCTCCCTCAGAAATACACTCACTTTTGAGCTTTTGGAGTAAGTTGAAGATGATTTGTCAACTACCACCTTCTTCTTCTTCTCTCCCAGGTGCAAGGAACCATCACTACTTCATCCTCTTTCTGCTGTCCCTCATGTTGATGGGAGCCTGGATGTTCTATGGTTGTCTCGTGTGTGAGTGACTCGACATACAGTGTAATCACAGTATCTGACGCTGTGCTGTATTTAACACTGGATGCCTGTGCTGCGTATGTTCTTCCAGACTGGTCGACTCACTGTGTGCTGCATTATGAGGAGCAGGGCCTGTGGGGCGTGGTCTCTGCCCTGGTCGGCTGCTCTCCCTGGCTGCTCAGCATCTTCGTGCTGGCTTTCTACCACACCTGCTGGTCCGGCCTGATCCTGCTCCTGCAGCTCTACCAGGTGATTCAAGTTTTTCTATGGCTCCCACACTGTGAATGTTTGAATTATTTTTCTCAATATGGAGAAGAACAACACAATGATTTGTTTTTTATTAGTTAAAATAGATCGTGTTTGTTCATTATTGTAACTTAGATGAAGACAATATCATATTTTAGGGCAAATTTATACATAAATTGAGGTAATTCCAAACAGTTCGTTTACTTTTTCTTGCCTTTGTAAAATAATATAAGTACTTTGTATGTTCCACTTGACTAAAGCAATGAAGTTCTGTTTACAGTCTACTGATTTCCTGTGTTTATACACACAACGAATGTCTTCTCTATCCTAATGTTTCCTTTGTGTGGGAACAGATTGCCTTCCTGGGACTGACCACAGCTGAGCGGACGAATCTGATGTTTCACCAGAGGAAGATCCGACAGCCCGTCTCCCTGAAACAGAATCCATACAAGTGAGTTGGTTATTAGTGCTGATATTATTTGCCACAATACTCTTGGACTTTTAGAATGGCAGCTTAATTGTGGCTTGACTACAAGCTGCTTTGCATGTTAAAACAAAAGTATCGCTTGTTCTTACACACTTCAGTGCAGCCCTATAATGTCATGTCCTTTATATCAGTTGGTAGTTTTTAACATCAGAGTATTAATGTCGTTAATTGTTAGATTGCTGTGTTGTAATTATGATGCAGCAGGAGCTTTACGCTTTTCAGTCAAGCTCTTGTGCGATAATGAACGCCTCATTCTACATTCACCCTTATTTATTACTGATACCACTGACATTTGTCTCTGTGGAAATAAGATCAGGACTTAAATCAGTGAACATGTGTACGCTCATTATTGCACATGTAAAAGCAGATGTGCACACACATGCTGATAACAGTTAATCTGTTGTATCTGCCATGTAACTCCTGTTTCTCAGCACATTTCAGTAAATCTGACAAAGGCGTGGCTGTGATTTGAGATTGTGTTGGGTCAGTCCTGTCGGGATATTACTTATATTGTTATTTAAGTACAAAGAATTCTCTCAGGCATTAATCTGTTTGCACAAAGAATTATCCAGTTTGATGATTTGTGGGGAAATTTTAGCAAGAATTGGAGAAAATTGCAAGCTCCTGCAAACAAAGCTGCATCGAGTTGACAGGATGAGGTCACAAATTTCTGGGAAAAATAAATTACCTACATTTTGTAAACTCTTTAAAGGTCAAGTAATGCATTGTCGGTGATGAAGTCCTGCTTTTGTTTCGTTAATCCATCTCTTGACACTCAATCCAGTGTTATTCGGTTAAATTCAGAATATGTCATTTGTCCAATATATTCACACGCATCAAAACAAGTATCTAAGAATGCAAAGATGATAATGAGAGATGATGCAGCACATGACGTTAAAAGTAAATTCATCAGCTGACTGACTCTGACTGAGCATCCAGTCCTGAATCGTCTCTGATCGTGTCCCTGCAGTTTGGGCGTCGTGCGGAACCTGGTCTCCTTTTTCCAGCTGCGTTGTTGTGGCCTCTTCAAACCGACCGTCATCGACTGGACGCAGCAGTTTCCGCCTGGCCGCGACCAGCACATGTTCGGACTGACCGACATGGTCTGACCTCGCCGCCGCCACTCGCTCAGGGTCAAGGGTCAGACATTAAAACAGTGGTTCTGGACCAAAAGCACAGATTCTATTTATTTATTTTTTTATGTGTTGGCTCTTTGTGAAGAGAGAACACAATATTAGAAGTTGGGGAACAACACAAAGCAACATGTAGATATTGATTCAGTTGCTCTTTGTACAGACTGCTGCTGCCTTATACTTGACCAATGTAAGTCACAATGAAAATCAAAATTGTTTTAATTTGGGTTAATTCAACCTTTAAAGGCCTAAATTGTAATTGAAGTATTGAGCTGTTTTTTATGAACACATCAAGCCTATTTTTTATCATCTGTTCAGGAAGGAAAAAGGATCTTTGTACATGTAAACACTTGGTTTTATGACTTTTGTAAGATTGCATGTGTTTAATAATGAATGACCACTATACTACTTCAATAAAGCAATGTCGTGCCTGTCTTTTTAACTTGCTCTGTGTGGACTCAAGGACCTCAAGAGGGTGGACAAGATAACAGAAACAACACACGTCAGCAAATACCACAATGGTGAGGCTCATAAATATTCAGGTTTTGTCAGATATTCATGTTACTCTGATAAAACTGAGAAAAATCTTCCTATTTCAGAGACTGAAAACGGCAATTTTTGCTTGAAAAATGACAATTAATTGATTAGCAAAAAAGACCTCCTGACTGCATTTTTAGGAAAAACAGTCTTGTCTTTCAGCAGCTTTAAATGAGTCCTTGCTACAGGAAATGCCTGGCAGCTCGTTTTTATTAAAGGTGTCACTGTGTCACAATTGTTGGTTGAGGTATCAGATCATCAGCAACCACACGACGTATAATTGGGTCACTGCACTGGAGATATAAAGGGAAGAATGTTTTTCACTTTAATGCTTGGATGCTTTTCATCCAAAACCTTTCATGGACAAAGGCGCTAATCATGTAATGAACAGAGCTCTTTTTTTTTGGAGCAGCTGTTTTTCTATGCGTTTGTCAGCTCCTCTAATTTAATAGTGTGAGATAACAGCTCCAATTTTAGTTTAAAAAAAAAGAAGAAGAAAACTTCTAAGCCTGTCCTGCTCTGCATGACCGCCCACACATAATTGTTTTGGAAAAAGTAACACATTCCATTTGTTAAACACTTGTTGCCTTCGTTATGCTTATTAAATATTGCACTGAATTATTTATGAATGCAAATAAGATTCTGTTAATAATTAACTTTGATTGGATGTGGTAACGCTAATTGTCTTTTCACAGCTGGACGAACCAGTGGTGGAAAATTCATCGACTTATAAGCTGGGGCTGGACGAAGTCGTTTTGCAGTTGTAATCATCAGAAACTAATTAGTGATACAAACAAAAGGCTTATCTAAAACCAGCGATCTATTCTAGTGATGATTCGTTCTGCTCTTTCCTGTGTGTGAGATACAGAAGATGAAGTGAAATGAAAGACATGGACCTCAGGCTGTATTTAAATGCTGTGTCCTCTTTCCCTTTATTTCTAGGAATAGTATCAGTCTTCATAAACAAACTCCATTCGTGATACATGTTAAAGTATCAAAACGGTTTTTATTGTGGATTCAGAATTTACCATGAACCGTGTGTCATGCAACAATTATCCAGTTGTTCTGCTGTAAGTAAGATAATAGATCACAGTTACACAGAATTTTGATACTCCTCACAAAGAATCAGCCTGAGGAGGTGAGTCCGAATGGAAACAGGTGCGGTGTAACTAAATGAGAGTGAGTGAGGTTTTTAAAAGCAGACGTTGTTCACTCTCGTTCCTCCAACATGGCGGCGTTCCCCAGTCCAAATCCTTTTGGGCCGAAGTTTTTGGCGTAGCAAACTGAGGAGACATTCAGAAAACAATACTGAGTTAATGATACACAGCATGTTCTCATTTTCTAAGTGAGTGTGTGTGTGTGTGTGTGTGTGTGTGTGTGTACCTTTACAGTACAGCTCTCCATCCTTGTCTGTCACTGTGGTCGACTCCAGGCTTTTACCACACAGAGCACAGCGGAAACAGGTTTTATGCCAGGGCTACACACACACACACACACAGACACACACACACATTAATAATAGCTAACATAAATAAAAGCTAAGGTAAAATATTAGCCCTGGTGGCTGCAAAGTTCACTACATAACAATACAGAAGTGTTGTAACACAGTCAAACTGAAATCTGACTGATGAAATTCCCTTGTGTGGTTTGGCCCCTGTGTGTCAAGGTTCAGTCAGGTTGAAGGAGGCGGGTCAGTTCACCACTGGAAGCAGATATATACCAGCGGATTTCAGTCTGACTGTGCCTTTAATTGTACAATCACACTGAATTTCTGTTCAAGGAAACTTCCACACACTTGGCCTTGAAAACATAATAAATCACGTGTCTGATGGTGTGATTATGTGTCAAAAATGGTGAAGAAACAAACCGGAATAATAACTTCTACATTTGTAAACACAGTGCAGCAGTGTTTCTGTTTGAGAACTGAGCACAAAGAAAACACAAAGAGCTACGAGGTCTGAATTACAATGACTGTCGGTCTGCTGGGGCAACAGGAAAGCGAGCGGTGCCAACTTTAAACTTGAGATTTTAGAGTATTTAGAAATGTGTGGGAATTTAACAAAACAGCATTAATAAAAGCAACAAATGCCGAACTAAAAACGCCCATGTTCCTCACCTTTCCCGCTCCCATCACCTTCTCCGCAGCGTAGACGGCTTTGGAGCAGCGAGGGCAGCGATCTGACCCTCCGAACTTCTGGGAGGATTTGTTTGGATTTGAGTTTGTTGCAGAAGGGCTTGGTTTAGAGCTAGAGAAGAAAAAAAAAAGATTAGAAAGACTTTCCCTTCAAGCTGTGTTCAGGAGGGAACCTTCATGATACAGGAGGCCAGCAGACCTTCAATAATTAAAGGCTGAGTTCGCCCGAATCACCAAAGACTGAAGGGCAATGAGAAAAGTGTTTTAGCAGAAACGTCCCAGATGGATATCACAGCCTCCTAACGACCAAATGACTTAATCCCACTGATGATAATTGATAAAAAATGTTCCTTGTGATTTGGTTGAACTGACCCTTTAATGGAAGCCCAACATACATTATTATTCTTACTCATGAGACTGCAGGTGTGCGTTCTGTCCAGGAGGATCGGAGCTCAGAGCTCCAGCTCCTTGCCCGTATCCGTAGCCTTTAGGCCCATATTTCTTGCCGTAGCAGGACTTGCAGTAAATCTCAGACTCGTGTGCTGCGACTGTGGTGCTGTCAAGCCCCTTTCTGCAGCTCACTGTGTGAAAGACACACAAATAATACACACTTGAACCCATTATTGTTTGGCTATATTTGGCCAGGTGAAAGGCTTTGCCCAGTGGTCTGAGGAGTGTCACGGTGGAGTAATGGAGGTTAAATAAAGCTCCCACCTCAGTAGTTTTATCAGTCAGCGGTGGCATTACACATAGTCAGATGTCTTGTGTTTCTATTTGTGGGACGAGTGAAGAGTGTGAGGGGAATGTTCGAGAAAAGATGAACACTTAGCAGCTGGATGAGCTTATCGCAGAGACCTTTCAGAGCTCCCGCTGGAACAATCCAGCAGTCAGCAGCGTTAGTGTTTGTGCAGAGAGCAGTAAACCTATTGGAGGTGTCCACTGTCTGAGTCCCTGATTTAGAGAGCTGCAGCTGCAAGGTCTGGTATTGGCCTAAGAGCTTTGGCTGTATCACAACAGGCCGACCACAACTGAAATTCAGACCACGATCTCCGGCCAAAACAGAAGAAGAGGAGGGGAAACTCCACTGGCTGTCAAACCCAAAGAGCAGCTATTCAACTACTTAAACATGAGAGAAAGGTTGAAAGGGTGAAATGTGAGTGACTGCTGACAGAAGGTGGTCAGCCTAGGCTAAAGTGTAAAAAAAAGAAGAGGAGCAGCAGGAGGATGAAGAGTAAGAAGAGTAAAAGATGTTATGAGGGAAAAGAAGAAACGAGGCCTGGTCGACAACAGGGCAGTTGATAAGAGCGAATGAGACACAGAAACGTGGAGGGACGGAGGGGAAACGGCACAGAGGTGTTAAATCGCTCTGCATGTCAGAACTGTGAGGTTCTGCTGGTCCACCATGACACTCTCTCTCTCTCTCTCTCTCTCTCTCTCTCTCTCTCTCTCTCTCTCTCTCTCTGATGGAGGAAGAACCGGTCTGCTCACTGCAGATGAAACAGATCTTGTGGAAGCTCCGGCCGTTGCACTGGATCTCCTCAGCGTGGTACACCGTCTTCTCACAGGCTGCACACTTGGCACCCCCTCCCCAGTTTGGCATCTTAGAGGAACCAAAAATAAACAATATTAACATAGAACTGCAACTAATTACAAGCTTTATTTTAATCAATCTGTTGATTTCTGACTTTGTTCATCAGATTTCTTCTTCAACATCCTTTATCTCCTGAGTGAAACAAACTCTTCCACGGGGTTCCTCAGGGTTTCCTTCCTCGGTTTTGATGGTCTTCGTCTGACTTTGACTCATCATATTTGACTCTAATGCCCCCCCCACATATTCCAGCTTCACTAAAAGCCTTCTGGTTTTCAGTTTGACATTCCAGTTCCCGCTCATATCAGAAGCTGCCCATCACCTCACAGGACTGGTATGTGATATTCCAGTAACAGAGGCTTTACAATGACACCAGACGGACAAAAGCCGCGCTGCCTGACAGTAAAACACCACTGGAAAGTTTTGAATTTTCTTGAGACGAATCAGAAATCTCACATTGAAACTGATTCCTGACGTCTATGTTCATGTCAAAAAAAAAAAAAAAAAAAAAAAAAAAAAAAAAAAAAAAAAAAAAAAATAATAATAATAATAATAATAATAATAATAATTCCACCGATAAAAACTAAAATACTAAAATAATCATTAATAAACCACATTACCTCTGTGTTGTAATATACCACTCAACTACGAACAGGAAACTTTAATACAATTCAAAGGAGTTCTTACCTTTAATCCAGTCTGTATGCTTCAGTCCTAACATGGTAGTGAACACCCCAGGGTGGCTTATATACCGTCCATCTCGCCATCACCACCGTCCGCCGGTGACACGACAATGAAAGTATCCTCCTAAAATAACTCGTGACAGAGCAGAGCCCTCTGACCCTTCATCACAGCCCCGCAAACATTTGTTCTGGACCCACGGCCCAACACAGGAAACTAAACTCTGACAGCTGCAAACATGGAGGCAGCGACATGGTGTGTTGTAGGATTACGTGCATAAATGATGGGGACTCAAAGCATGTAAATGACAAATGCACACATGAATATGAACACATGGCTGATGCTCATTATCTGCATAAAGTAATTAATCATCTGTATTGTTGATTTTTAAAGACATATCATGTCATGTTGAAATCATATTGAACAGAAATTTAACTTGTGCACTTAATCTTAACTGGGAAAAACAGGCCAAAGATCTAAATTGCCTGTAGTTCTGATTTGTTGAAACAGGATAAATAAAGTGAAACAAAATGGGAATTCATTCTGATCATCAGGCAAGTAAAAACTGCCTCATGGTTGGAAAGTTCAGGACTTGAAGGGAGCTTTATTGTAATTAAGAGATCAAATAAATGTCACATATAAAAGAACCAAATTTACATTTATCAATAAAGAAAGTAATATATAAATATCAATTAGAAATACTGTATTAAATATGATGAGCTATAAAATGTAAATATTGTCTAAAAGAATTTAAAAAAAGGAAAATGTCAACAAACGAAAAAGCCTGCAAAGCATCTTTGGTAATCGAATGTATATAAAACTTTATACTAATACTAACAATCCATTCAGCTAATTAAAAGTAAACTGTACAACCTTGTTTATATCTGGTTCGAGGAGTTAATAAACTTCTATCCATATGTGACTTATATAATTTCAATAAGGCTTTGTTTACATTTGAAGTGTGTATGTGGTAATGGCAGGGTCACCTGGGTCATCCTGACAGGTGTAGGGGAGCTAACAGGTGGAACATTTTCCAGTTTTTCTCATCCTGTGAACATGAGGTGAATGTTAATATCAGTCCTCTGGCTCAGCTGTGCTTTTAAGTTCAATCTTTTAATTTTCTTTCTTGCATTCATGTTGTGCCTTTTGTTTGGCACCTTTTCAACCGTCCTTACGCTTAAAGGAGTTGTGACTGGAGATTTAATTCGCACTCATTTTTGTGCCTTTTTTCGGTGGAAGTCAATGTGAATCTGTAAGTCAGTGAAAATGAATAGCTTTCAGATTCTTTTTTATTACGACCTAAAAGACATAAATGAAATGGGTGAAAGCTCCACATCAACACTTCCAACTGGTGTTCTCAGCTTGTCTCTATGATTTATAAATAAAGTTAGTTTGTTACCATTAATAAAACATGCTAAGTGATGAATATAACTCCAGAGGGTTTATTCATTCAAAGCAGAACTGATGCTGTGACGACTCCTCAGAGACGCATCCTGGTGTGAACTGTGTTGGACACTCTTTGACGAACATGTGAATATGTTTTTTTGATAGATGTGATTTTAGACATAATCTATAATTAAACTAAAGTATCCTGTAATGAAAGAATGTGTCGAACAAGTAGAACCTCTGACCTGCAGGTGACACTGGATGGAAAGTCATTACAATCCATCCTCTGGAGACCATGACAAATCCTTAGCCAATTCACAGAAAATGATAAACATGTTTTTATAATCAATTAATTTTTTCCGTCATTTGCCAAAGAAACATGCTCCGTACTCTGTCCTGTTTTTCAGAATGTGAGAATTTGCTGTTTTTCAGTTTTATATCACTGTATATTGAATCTCTTTGGATTTTGGACTGAAAACAAGCAATTTGAAGGTATCACACTTTGGCCAGTGGGAACTTGTGATGGCTATTTTCTTAAATTTTATAGACTATAAATGATGAATCATAAAATGACCTTATTAACAGATAGTTCAAATTGTTAGTTGCATCTGTACCAGATGTCAATGCAGTATATCCAGTTCTTGTGGAGAAGTGTCACTGTAGACTGAAGGAAAAAACCAAGTATGTTCTTAGAAAAAAAACATAAAAATTTATTTAGCATTTTACATTTAGCAGGACAAAGGAAACAAAGGTAATTTCCTTATAAATTAAACTTATCAAAATATCTGATTAGTTTCAGAATGCATCACAAATATTCACATATTCTCAGAAAATCAATTTTTAAAAGGGTAACAGTTAACATGTACATATGTGCAAAAGGGAACTTATTAGATTTTGCTTAGCGACAAATTTTCCATTCAAACTTTCATTTAAAAACACCCATCTGACTTGGGTGTATTTTTTCTTTCTAGTACTGATGTGTCTTTTTACGACTCTTGGTAATTTGAAGAAATAATGGCGTTCACATCACCCACATTAGCAGATATAACTAAAAAAAACAAAACAAGAAAAGTAAATCTCCTCCATTGGTTTATGTAAATTTAGCCCTAACAGTTTCTACCATCATCACAACTAGCCTGACAATAGTGTTCATGAGTACCTGGTGAACTTATATATATATATATATATATATATATATATATATATAATTTCCACATGTCCACTGGGCCACAGCCAAAGTCTGCACGGCAGCTATTTTTAGAACTGGCTGTGATAAGAATGAAGGCAGTGGGGCCGCTGTGAAATGTCCAGAGGTAATGAATACTGTGAAATGCAAAAAAAAAAAAATCCCACCCACCCACCAACCATACAAACGCAACACCCATACACACATAATGAACACAGACATTAGAGGGTTTCCTTCAGGAGTCCTCGGTGGTGACGTCCAGTTTTCTCTGAGGGATGTAAACAGTTTTGGTGCCTTGGTGTCCGCTGGTGGTTACCACGGTAGCTAGAGGCGAGAGGGGGACTGGTGTGTGGAAGAAGCTGTGCTGGGGGAGCCCGGTCCCTTTGGGGGTGGTCATCAGAGGCTGGACAACAGACAATGTTCAGTTAGTAAGACTGCTGATATAACCACAGGGGTCTGGTCAACTAAATAAATAAATAAATCTGCAGTGTTTCTGTTACTCTGGATAATCTACAAACCTCACTGCGGACGGTTTTCATTGGAACTACTTGTCTCGGACAAACAGTTCTCATGAAAACTGCTGACAGCGAGGTCTGACGCTGCCAATACAGATAACACAGAACGCCAGCACTTAAAACTGAAGCTAACTGGCCCTTTAATAAGGACCAGTTGAAAAGGTTACAGTGGTTCAAAATGAAATCTGAAGACTCGCTCACCCACACATGTATTATCGTGTATTAAGTATTTCAGCTTGACAACTTGTTCATGTTATCAGGTTGATGTTTAACGTGAAGAAGCACTACAGCGTTTTTGTATCATACTTCTATAAAGTTGTGGCACTTTAAAAACATTACAAAAACCTTTAGTCCCTAATACCGTTACTATTACTCAGCTCCTTCAGAGCCTCACATGACATTATACCAGTTTCCACAGTCACTGTTTAAACACAGCAGGGTTTATTTGTACCTGTTGTACGCTGATCAGGGCCAGTGGCTGTGCAGAGACAGACTGCTGCACAGGCACAGGGGAGATAGGTTTGATGAAAACCATGCCTCTCTGCTGCAGAGCCAGCGGACCTGGCAGCGGGCTGGGCAGGGTGTTGGCGCGCTCTGGTGTCTGCGGGGCCGCAAAGGCATTTCCTGGGCTGGAGCCTGAGATCAGACCCAGGTTCTGCAGGGTGAAGTTGAGGATGGCGGGACTGGGGCTGTGGAGGTGGTGGGCCTGCTGGGCAATGCACGGAGAGTCAGCAGCAGCAGCAGCAGCAGCGGGTCTGTGACGGCGAAGGCTGGTGGGCGTAATCTCCAGTGCCGGGGCAGGTCTGGAGCCTGTCGATGACACAAGAAGAAAAGTCCAGTCTCTTTTCTGGATGTAGTTGTTCATGTGTTCAGACTCTTACTTTAAGCTACAGTTATAGTAATATAACAATTTTGATTGAGGTGTGAGGATTTGGTATTTTTCAGTTTTTTAATCGTTGTAAATTGAATATCTTTGGTGTCTGGACCTCAAATCAACATTTTATCCCATATTTACCTGCAGTTGGTGTTTGGTAGATGCTGTAAGTGGGAGTCGAGGCCTTGTTGCTTTCTCCCCCTGAACCTTGAGTTTCCTTGTAGCTGATGAGGGACTGCTGGGAGATGGGGATCAGATATCCGGCCGGTACTAAAGTCTGGATGGGCAGAGAAATAAACGTCACACATACTGCGCAAAAACCAAAGGTTGTCGAAAACCTTCCTGCTGTTAATCGACACTCAGACAGCAGCTCGTTTGTGCATTTACCTCAGTGTGGAGCTGTCCGGGTGTAATGGGTATGGCCCTGACTGGCGTTAATCCCGCCTCACTGTCCGAGTTAACCATCTTGTCCTCTTTGTCCAGGAAGGTCTCCAGGCTCTGCTCTAGCGTCTGATTGGCTACAGCTCCACCAGGGGTGTTGACAAACTCCGGGTCTAGGTGGAGGGCGCGAGGCGAAGGCCGGCTGGGGAGCTGATTGCCGCGCCGCGCCTTCAGCCGGGCCTGCAGGATCTCACACAGCTTCGGAGATGTGTCCTACAACAGAGGGTGAGAAATACTGTACATCAGAGACAAGGAGCAACATTAACAATGTTTATTCTTAACTTGCATATTACTGATGAAAAAGGTTTTGTTGTAGAGGAATTAGCCGCTTGCTTTTTGCTAGAATTTACACAAACTGATTCAATCCATCCGAAACCAGTTTTAATTGAACAAGTTCTTATGCATTATTCTGCAGTGTTTCTTGGCTCTTCTCTACTTTAACTCCACTCTTTGGCTCCTTAAAAAAAAAAGCTAAATGTCTGCATGTTTTCCTCTCTGGTTTTTAACACTGGTTGTGATGCATTTCTGGACATGAAGTTACAACTCCCAGAATGCCTTTTGTGTTGCCCTGTGGTGGGTTTCATACATACAGATTTTAGAGCCAACAAAGTGAGCGCTTTAATGCTAATCACGGCAAAAGAAGACTATTATGATCCTTCAATTGTTCAGCATCAATGCAAAAGTATGACTCTAGACAAAAACATTTGTCTTTATTTCTAAGTGACAAAAATATTTGTAGGTAACAAACTGAACTCTCACATGGCTGTAAACGTCTGGAAGTGATATATCAGTTTCCTGCCAGAGTAAAACCCAAACTGTAATAATGTTTTATTTAAGAACAACGTTCCTTTTATCAACCCAAATGTTGTTGATGTAAAGGTTGAAATAGTATGTTTTTTTTTTTTTTTTACCTTAAAGTTGGGGTCGGTCCTCTTGGCTTTGGAGGGGCTGCTCTCTGCGGCTGAATCTGAACGCAGCCGTTTGAGTTTCAAGGGGCTGTCGTCTGTCGCCTTGGAGACCGGCTGGCTCTTAGCTACAGACTGGCCCGTTGGGCTCTGCCCTGTCTTATCTTCAAAGGTCATAGAGCGCACGGCCAGGCTGGTCGGCTGCGGCTTGGCCAGAGGGTTCGGCCTGAGGGAAGAAGGGTGCAAGTACACGGCGTAGGAGCCGTTCCCCCGCTGCTGAGGTAACAGGACAGGGATGAGGGGGGAACACTGTGCAGGGATGTAAGCGATGGAGCCCGCGGGCTGGGCTGCCAGTGGGGTGTGTGGGGTGAGGTGGACAGTAGTGTTGACTCCAGGCTCCTGGGTTGGAGTTTGTAACCGTGCCTGAGGCGGTTCCATTGAATCAGAGGAAACTGGCTGTAGCCTCGCAGCAGCCACGTCCGCCTCGGCAGCAGCAGGTTTTGGTTCTTCAGCTCTAGTTCTGGAACAGAAGCAGGACTCTCGTTTAACAATCCACAGATCTACAACGACACTGGTGTAAAATCTACGGCAGGGAGCTGAACCTGTAGCGACGTTTAAGGGTTAAAACTGTCGTATAACAAACAACAAGCATCGTAAAAAATAACGTCAGAGAAGAATAACATTAACATTGCATAACAACCGAATAATGTTATGGTTCCTTTATGTGACACTTGAATTCTCTTAGCAGACTGGGTTAAATGATGTTTGAACATAAGGAACGGGAGACTCGCAAAGCGTTTTTCAAAACTGCAAGAGGACCTGATTTGTTAGAGGGACAAACAGCTATCCCCTAACAGTCTGTACTGTGTACAATCTGTTATATTAGTTTAGATTACAAATTATTTCAAGTGTCAATTTTTAATTTCAATAGCTGTCCGGAAACAACATTTTCAGATGAACTTTATTTTATGACCAGGCTTCAGCAGCGTTCTTATCATCTTCACTGAATGGACAAACACACCAGATTTCATTTTAAAAAAAAAAAAAGCCCGAACATTTCCGGCTGAATGAACAGAACCGAACTTACACAGACTCCTGGTCGAGCTTGATCTTACAAATGGCGGCGAGCTGGGCCATTTTGTTTGGGAAGTCTGTGTTTGATGAATCACCTGAAGATAAAGGAGGAAAAGATTGGATGTATGAGTCGTCACACCACAATAGTAACCTTGCCTGAAGAAACATGTCCTATACTCACTGAGGGCGCTCTTCATGGGACTGCTGGGGGCCGAGTTGATCTTGCGTCGGTCATCCTGAATGCTCTTCGCCAGCTTTATGAGGGAGGGGTGCCGGGTGAAACTGCGTTTAGCCCCCGGTGTTGAAAAGAGGTTTTTGGCACAGTTGTCTACAGTGGCACGTGACTGCAGTACATTTTTTTTCTTGGGTGGGCATTCGGAAGTGGATTTCTCCAAGTCTGAAACACAAGTTTAATGTTTAGTCTGTGAAACTAGGGGATAATAATTTTACGTATCGCAGGCAGCACCGGTTATCACAACTCAAAAAGAAACTCAAAGTCCTGAAATATATTTCAGCTTAAACAGTTGTTTGTACATAAAAGAAGTCTGGCGATACCTTTGACTTGTGGGAACTCTTCGAGGCCGACCCATTCAAAGGCCGGTTTCCTCCCCCTCTCTTCTGTCACGTGGACTTTCTCGATGAGCTTCAGGCTCCGCAGCACGTTCGCTATATCATAGAGCCGGCGCACTTTGGCTACAAACACATGAGCAAACAGCACGATTATCTACTGCCAACAGACAGACACAGCATATTCCGCCAATAAATAAATAAATAAATGTATAAATGTATAAATGTATAAATAATTAATCACACATGCCACAGCAACTGCATACAAAATTTGTGCATCCAGTGGTACAGTGTTGAAGTATTTCTATTCACTGATTGATGCATTTACCCCAGCTCTTTCAAAATGCACGCTCACGGTCTAAATAACCTTAAATCAGCATGGGAAGCTGCAACTGTGCATGTACATGTAATAACACTGACTTTAATCATGTTATACTGGTAATAAAGGTATTTTGTTCAGACCTTCTTAAAAGATTTAAATAGCTTTACACTGTAGAAACACATTAGGATACTTTATTGACAGATGTAATGAGGGCTTGGATTTCAGCTTTGACAAACTTTATACCATCTGTACATTTCTTCTGTTACAACCACATCTAATGGTCCAAGATGAGATCTAAAAATCATGCACCAGCACCATTTTACTTAAACCCTGCAATAATACTGAGGAGCGTACTTTATATGGCGGGCTCTGTACTCACTCTTGAACTTGTTCTTGTCTTGATCTGCACCCTGGTCCTCCCCGATCAGGATCTTCGCAGCCACGTCCAGACTGACCACGCGAGGATTCGACACCAGAAAGAGCATGACGAACTTCTGGCTCATCACCCGCAGAGATTTGTCCTTCCGACTGTTCACAGAGGCTGGACAGGACAAACAGCAAGTCAGTTAGTGTTAATATGAATTACTAATCTTGTCCTTTTCTCTTAAATATTTAATTTCATGAAGCACTTTTTATTTCATAGACTCTCACGGGATTATAAGGGGTTGTTTCATGAAATCTGGAAGCATATATTATTACATGAAGCATGTGGATTAAACATCAATTTCAGGGTGGCACTGCAATTGAATATTTAAAAAAAACAAACAAGTAATTTAAAAGGCCAAGTCAATTCCTTCTCAACACCCTTCATTTATTGCCAGTGGAAAGCAATGAATAACCACAACCAACCATGTTCTGTTTGATATATATTCAGAGGAAGTGGGCCTAAAAGCTTCTCACCTGCTTTGAACTCTACTCCTGGGAGCTCCACGAAGAAGAGCTCCTTCTGTCCCTGCTCCCCGCTCTCCAACTCCACCACCTCCTCGTTCTCCTTCTCTTCGCCGTCAAAGTCGAACTCCCTGTCCAGGAGGCGCTGCCGGATCTGCTGCATCTGCTGACCGTACCGGTGCTCCTCGCCCACCTGCTTCAAAATGGCCAGAGTCTGAGCCAGCTTGGAGCGGCCGTGCCACGTGTAGCGGTTCTTCGCAGAGCGGCTGACCATGTGCAGGCTCTCCAGCACGTTCATGATGTCGTAGATGCGCCGGCGCTCCACATCTGTGCAGACGAAAGGAAAAAACACATTATAGCATCTTAATGAATGAGCCAGTACCGCGATTATTAAAAGAGACTGTTTACAGGAAACTACAGTCAGTTTATCTGGTATAAATGTGTTAATTTACCACAAACACTCATATGTGTGTTTATGAGAACACAGCAGACATCTGAGCACTGGTGGAGAGGCCTCTGGTACATATCACAATATCATGACCGTGAGGTGATATACACTATTTTATCTGTATTGTCTTAACTACTTACCTTAAAACATTGTGTTGTCATTTTTACAAAATTTTACACAGACATTGTTATTTGTAAAATAAATACCAAACATTTTCTGGTTAGCAGTTTTTGAAATGTGAGTATTTGCTTGACTCTCTGGTGTCCGCAAATGGAAACACAATTTACAGATTAGAGAGTCATGAAAGTAACAGCTAGCTGCTGCCCTCATATCTGACAGACTGATCTTAACGGATGGATATTGTGTAACTGTTTTAGTTAAACAGTTTAAAAGTGATATAGGACACATACTGAGCTCAGTGGCCACGTCATCCAGGCAGATGTCGTTGTTGAGGGCGGGGTTTGGGTAATCTGGGTAGCGGGCGAGGAACTTGTGACAGAGCAAACCCAGACTCTTTTCTTTCCTGCTGATCATTTTCTCTGACTCTTCTCCATTTTCAGTGTCCTACAGAAAGATAACAGAGAGCTGCAGTTAAGAGCAATATTCCTCTGAACACCTGGATTTATCAGAAAATATCAATCATATGTTGTATGCATATAGAATATTTTTTAATACCTGTATAGAGTCAAGACCATCCCGCCCATCATTGTCCATGCACAGCTCCTTCTCTCGGTTCCTGATGTCAGGACTAGCAGCACTGATGAGCATTTTAAGGTTTGAGGTCGGCGTCCAGGGATCAACAGAGCCTACTTCCCTTCCTTTTTTAGGCGTGGTAAGGGGACCCATGGTTAGCTGCTTCTCCACTGACACTGCACACGTGCCAAATACTTTCTTTGGGGTCTTTACAGGAACCAGGGGTGCTACAAAGCTATCATCCTAGTCAGCAAAAGGAGAAAACAAAAACAAAAAAATATGAATGACTATGATACAAGCCCACTCATTTCTACTGAGGTATTTCTCATAGAAAACAAATGAACAAATTATATCGGAGAAAGATGTGGATTCCTCTGAACTTACTGACCTTTGAGTGAGATTTCTGGCTCAGGTTTTGAGATTCAAGCGCTGTACCTGACATTTTCCACCTTGGCATAAGAATTTAATAATGGAGTATATTAGCTGCTGTTACCTGGCCATTAATACAGTGATAGATTCAGCTTAGGGATGGTATCAAACAATTCTGAAAATCTTCTTTTTTTTTTAAATTATAATTTTCTCCTGTTACAGTTTAGGTCTGGATTACCATCTGAAAAAGAATATCTTCCATTTTATGGTCCTGATTTTCAAGAGGGACTTCATTAAGAACCCATTTGTTGTAAAGCTTGTCTTAATAATTGGAAATAAGGAAACTGTCTTGTATAGTGACGGTCAATGAGGCCCAACAATTTTTTGCTCATAGGATCAAGGCAAAAATCAGCTATCAACTTATACTAGCTAACATTTGTTCCACCTAACAAACTTTAAACATGCTGAATTATTCTAGCTTGCCTGCGGTATTAATCAACGTCATTAATTAAAGTGATTTTAAGTTAATAAAGACAGCTCGTTAATTATTATATTACACAGTATATAATTTCGGAGAGCCTTACCGCTTTTTTAGCGCAATATATTTGTCGGGTACCAACATTTTCAGATCACCGTGACAACAGTGAGTTCAATAATATACCGATGGTCAAATTAGTTTATCCCCTGTCTTTACCGGATGGTAATATTGATCAAAAAAATCAGTTTAAATCTAATCAAAACACCAGCTAGATATTGGCGGTAACTGACGTACGTTCCGTCGAATCCTCGGGCCCAACGGACGCAGTGGTGCCGCCCTTTTTGTGTGAAGCAACCAATAGGAGCGCGGCGCGAGCCAGCGTAGAGGAAGTGAAGGTTGTCCCGCGCAGGTAAACTGTTTTTGAAATCCTTGGCGCGGAACGTCTGTACCGTACCAGCGGAGGCCTGCTTTAAACTTAGATACGTATTGTGGCAAATTCCGAATCAGCACTAACGTTACAAGGACAACGTTGCTCTGTGTTTAAGAGGAATATGTTTAGTCGCGGTTAACGGTTTAACGTTTGTTGTCACGTAGCCAGCTACGAGCGCCCGCCGCCCGATAAGGTTTAGAACTAACATTAACTCACGTAACGAAACACGGAAAACCCGGATAATCCTGAAACTTCTCACATGGCAGCGGTTTTAAGTTAAAACGTTGAAGAAACAATAAGCACTTTAGCTGAAGTTACACGGCCTGCATGGAAATCAGTTTACCGGGGCGAAGCGGTAACCCAGGGACACCGAAACAGCTGTAGTTGAACGAAACGCTTTGATTTTCTTCTTTTAAGCCAAGACAAATTCACAAACATGCGTAGACTTACCCAAATCCACGAAATAAGCCTTGTTCAGTGGTATTTTCCCATCTTCACGATAATGTGCCTTGAGTTCCAGCCTGCAGAAGTGGATTTTTTTTTTAAACACAAGATCACTTTTCCGCGTATGAAGCAGCAGTAGAAGCGTATAAACCCAAAGTGAAATAGTACAAAATGTGCACGGGTCTTGGATTTCTTTTTCCCCGCTGCTTGTAAACAGTGGCCTCCGTCTTGGTCAACTTTACTATAGTGGAGAGAAGTTTGCCCAGTTGTGTGGGTGACCACTAGCATTTGGCCCGCCCAGTATAAACATATTGCTCACGTCAGCCCAACACCAACCTCCACTTCCTCCATGTAGGGATATAGGCGGGCCCAGACCAGGCGCACGTAGTCCTACCACAGTCTGTGTAGTCCATTAAGTGTTCAGGTCCTATACTTAGAGGAGAGGTTCACAATCTTTCAAGTCTGCCTTACAACAATACTCAGGTGCCTATATTAATATTAAAACAGGCCATTAAAAACTCCTTATTCACTTTCAATGTAAGTTATAGAGGGCAAAATTGTTCCCTCTCAAATGTGTATTTAAAAGTTTATCTGAATCTAACATGAGGCTTTGCCCTTCCAGATTAATCAAATCAAATGGATTTCTTCCTAAATTTGCAGCCTTTTTAATACAAAATCCCCTCTTTTAGACTGTCTGATGAAACACAAATACTGAATTTTTCATTAAAAAAAAGGTATTTTTGGAAGATAACAGTGTGATTTGACTAACTCAGACTGCTTAAACTTTGGATGTGTGCACAAAATGAGGACTGCATCACTTATGTTGAAAATGCATTTTAATACTGTTTTTTAATGGCCAGTATGAATAGGATTGATTACAACAGGCAAAACATCTTTCAATGTTCACATCGGCATCTGAATATTGTTTTACAGACTTAAATTGTGAACCTATCCTTGAAATAAAAGTATTGCAATGGCACTGCAAATATAGAGAAGGATAAGTCCTACGTTGAAAATTTGCAATCAAATTATCATGTATAATCAAAGTATAATCACGAAAACATAGGAAGTAGGAAACATAATGTGCAGAGAAAAAGCCCCTGTGACCGTTATACTTTTATGTAATTAGATAATTATTACTCATGTAAGCAGCATTTACTGTTAGCTGGTTGAGGTGCAGCTTAATTCTTTTTGTATGTGACTACAACTGATGATAATTGTCTCTATGGATTAATCTGCTGATTATTTTTAATAATTGATTGTTTGGTTCGTAAAAAACTTTGACAATAGCATTAACTGCATTACAGTCACTCAGAGTTCAAAATTAATCAATATCAAAGTACAACTGAAGAGGCTCCGCATCTTGTTGTCGTGTCTCTATTTCGGCACTAGGTGGCAGTAAAGCTCTCTTTACCCAGAGTCGCCATGGAAACCGACGGGCGCCTTCAAGGATGTTGAGAGAGAACAGCGGAGCTCGAAGCATCTAGTGACGTAATGTTACGGATGTAAGAGAAAGCGAGTGGGACCCTGATGCTGCCATCAGGTACCCCTCGTAAATTAGGGTACCCATTACGAATTGGTAAGCACTAGTTCATAGGGTTTTGATTAAAAATGGGCCAACTCTCTGCTTATCAGAAAAAAAACTCAATTGGTATCTATGGTAAATAGGTCTGCCTTGGACCAAGAAATAACCTTTAATACTTTGGTTATGATTCTCAACTTTATACCGTTTTTTTAAAAGCTATTATGTTACAATTATAAAACTACCAGAGGTAGAGCCAGAGATGTATTTGTATTTCCTGCATTTATTTATGTTCCACAGGGCCACATATAATGGCTATTTTCAGATCAATTCATCAGCTTTAATTATTTTCTTTCTTTATCGTTTTTTCTGTAAAATGACAGAAAATAGCGACAATTTCTAATGAAGTCTTTTAAGAATTTCTCCTTAGAATTTAAACCTAAGGATGCTGGTATATATCAGTTATTTTCTTTATCTAAAAAGCTGGAGAACTGTGTACAGTTGATGCTGGTGTGTATCTCTAAGTGCTTCACTGCTGAGAGTTGTCACATCCAGCATATTTTTTTCCCAAGTTTAAAAAGACAGTTATTTGGGATAACAGTCTAACAAAAGTAAAAATGATCATGAAAGGATGAAATAGACAGCTGTTTTCCCTTCTCACTTGTAAAATAAGATGTAGAACAAACTTTATTTTTGCAGCACTTTGCAAAACAAGGTCACAATTTGCTTTACCAAATGAAAAGCATAAAAACACACTAAAAAGGACAAAACAACGCATATTTAAAGCAATTTTGTAGAAAACATGTTTGTTGGTAACATTTAAAAGAGTTTGTGGTTTGTGTTGCAAAGAAATCGTGAGGCGACAACATCCACATTGTTGACCATCACGATGTTTCCTACAGCACGTGAATGCAGCAGCTGGCTGCTCCGCTCGCAGCCAGAGGAACGGACAGCGCAGCACACGAGGCAGGGATCATCTCCACCGGGAAGGAAAGGAACAGAGAAGTGCGGGGTGAGCATCATTTCTTCACAAGGAAACTCTTGTATAATGTTTATTTCTCCTCGTAGTTTATTTATTGTTCGTCAATTTAGCCAATTACGAACAGTTTCCAGAAAGCTCGGAGCAGCAGCCAGTCTCAGGCAGCCTGTGAGTGCTCGCAGATTCTCCTGCAGGGATGCTGCAGTAGCTCAAACCTTCGGCAAGCAATTTGTTCCACATTGTAACTCTTGAGTTAATGTTTGTTGTCAGACGGAGGCTAAAAAGTCACGTTTACGATAACTCTAAGAACTGCATAGCACGATAGCAAGTTTGTGACCACGAAAAAGTTAGCTAGTTAGGATTTAAGAAGTGTGTTTTCATGGCGTGACTGGTGAAAAGCCCACACCTGCAGCAATTAGCCGGCGGTTTGTTGGGTAAACTATGTCCTATATGCAATAGATACAAATGGTCCTCGCGCAGCATTTAAAGGATACTGCTGGTGATGTTGTACATTTTTGTTATTGCCAGCAAATCCCATGAAAAGACTGCAACCAACCGTGAACTGATCCTGCAAACAAGTATTCTATGTTTAAAATCTGATATAGCCAACATCTCATTCCCCTGTGCCGTACACTTCAGTTCTTGCTCCAAAAGTATTAAAAACACATCAGTGAGCCACACTGTTGCACTGGGATTATGTTCCTTCATTGCAGTGAATGTGTGCACTGTATCATTTGGTTTGAGTCAATCTCACATACTCCATCCTGCTGCTGTAAATACTCACAAGAGCACAAAATGTGCATTAATCCTTGGCTGAAAGTAGTTCCAAATATGCAGTTTTCTCTAGTTTTAGTAACATTTGCTAAAACTAACATTGCTCAGCTGCCTATGGAAATTATTAACCTTTTTTTTTTAATGTAATGGGACTAGGAATGGATGGAGTGGACTTGCAGCTGAGTGCTGCAGACAGGTTGGGGAAGCATTGAGACATGGACTAATGAATTGTTGGTTTTGGTCTTTTCTCTGGATGTGTTGACAATAACAAAAAAAACCCAAAAATCTTGTAAATACTCAGTTAGCTTTAACTTATGATAATAATAATGTTACCATATTATATATTTATATGTTACGTAGTATAATAATGCGTAGTCTGATACTGAACAAGTATCTCAAGTTCTTTCTGACACCACAGCCTTTGCTATAATGCTTCAATTTAACTCTGTTTTCTTTCTCAACACAGGCAATTGTTTGCTGTTGGGATACCAGACGTGACCTTTGCTGTGAGTGACACCAGCTTTTACACATCTGCTTTCGCTGGACATTTTTTTGCTTTTTTCTTTTTATACTGGTGGATGTTTCCCTGAAGTCTGCTCATTTTGCTACATGGAAACCGAAACCTGCCCACATTGTCTGTCCAGAGGGACACAGATTGAACCTCGCATCATGATGATCGCATCCTCCTTTTAGATTAGAAGATGTTTTTCGGGGAGAGAACCATCCTGCCTATCTTCGGTTCCTGCTCTCTGCCCTGATGCTCACTTCAGGCCAGCCCCTCTTCACCAGGAACTGCAAAGAAAAACCATCAAGAAACGATATGACTGAGACACGACATGTGGCTGAGGTTGGATCCCCCCAGAGATTGGGTGCTATCTTTTTCATGAAACAAAGTTGATGGACAGACAGCTTTTGCTCTTTTTCTTTTGGATAGACATTCATGCACCACAACTGGGAACCAAGTGGGAAGGGGACTGAAATACTGTAAGCAGGTATTTCCCTTCATTCCCAAGAAGGATATTTAGCTGTGGAAGAGCCTGAGGACTCACTCACTTATGGGAAGATGGAGGCGGGAGCAGAGGCTAGTCCACAACAGCACCCGAGGAGGAAGCCTGTGCTGCACTGCTTGGAGGACCAGAAAAGGGTGAGTTAACGACTGATCCTCTTTTTTATCCTCCCGATCTACCTGTCTGCTCTGTGATGTGTGACGGTTTGAGAGTACAGCAAGGCTGAGTGAGTGCTTTTGAGTGTAGAGTGGACAAGCAATCTTTGAAGGTAGAGTTTGAATGTTGACAGCTGAGTCCGGATAGGTTGATGCATAGGTGGTCAACAAGCAAAACAAAACTGTTGCTACTTAACTTAACATGTGTCTTGGAAATTGTACATTTAGATTCAAAGTTGTCAACAAGAAAAGAAAAAAAAAAAACAGTTTGTCTTCTTGCAAAAAACAAAAATACCTTGAATATCTGCATTCTGACCTGATTCGACCTCTACTACATTTACGAGGTGTCAAAGGAAGCTTAACGTGATTGATTCAAAGCCAAAGAGTGAGTGAAAGCATCAAGGCGTCTGTTAAGTCTTCTTTGATGCTCTGTGGTTGTGTAGAATTACTTTAGCAGTCTGCACTAAGATTGATGGAGCACTTGATACCGCGACTCATTTTCCCCGTTTCAGCTTCGCTCTGCATTTTCCACATGATGTTGATGTAGTGCTGTTGTTGTATGCAAACCTCATAGCTCCGGTTTTCCTGTTTTTTTGTGGCTTGACTTTAGATGAAGGATTACTTGGTCCTCTGCAGGATGAAAATAACCGACAGCTCCTTGTGTGTATGAACCCTTTAATGTGGTGGCGGACTGAATTTCTCCTGCTTTCCTGCTGTGGACGCTGACTCAGCTGACTTACAGCTTTAATGCCACATCCACCGCTCTGTTTACTATGTGTTTACAGCTAA